GGTACTATTTGCGGCGCTATTCTAACCTGTTTGCTTATTTCCAGCCGAAAAATCGGATGCTCGTGGATTCCAATTTCGCCCAAGGTAATGATGATCATTTTTCGTCATCTGAAACAAAATGATGATCTGTAGCCTGATTACTTTTGCATTTTCTTAATGTTGCTAAAAGCAATATTTCCTTTTAGGTCTGTACGGACAAATTTAAAGAACTATTAAATAAACTTTGTTTTTCAATTATTGTCTTATTCGAATTTGATTTCAAGCTTACTTGGTGGGCTAGGATTTCAGTACTGGTTATGGCTGTTTAAAATTAATTGTAGACGGAATTATACTGTTGATCACAGTTACTTTAAGGTTGTAAATAGTCTAGACCGGCTTATGTTTTAGGTCTCCAGTGTTCTCGCGATGGGATGTGCAATTCGCGTGGACACCGTGTCCATTGTTGTCTATACTGCCGCGTCTAACTCGTTCATGTACATAACTGTATGACTACGTGGTGCCCTCCTGGCGACACGTACCCAAATGTCAATAGGTCTAATCCTAGCTAACATGACCATTCATTCGACCGCTTGTATTGTACTCGCATTAATCTATATTTTACCCATCTTTTGTACATCTATGGGCCGATTTGCCATTTCCCTCCATGCTTGGGATTTTGGCGAAAAGTCTGAAGTAGGCTAAAGAGCTTCGGATAACTATCTAAGCCTGCCCGTTAATCTAACATGGCTATTACATCTGTGAATTAAATACGCTCCCCCTTAGACTTAGCATGGCTATGGTGCTCCTCACTCACCCGAAGCTAGAAGCAAACTAATCCCTTTAATGAGACCTATTACATAGCCTCTCTTGCATTAAATAAAATTGTTATAAAAGCGAGTAACGAGAACGAAATCATTTAAGAAACTCCGTTTATTAAGCTAAACCATCTGGGTAAGCAAATAGTCAACATCAATCCAATGATCAGTCTCCACGAGCATCCGATTCTTCGGCTGAAAATAAGCAAACAGGTTAGAATAGCGCCGCAAATAGTACCGTCATCAGTCTACAGTTTCTGCATGACTTGTCTTAGAGACGAAAAATAGGTCATCACTGCAGCTTTTCAGAACAGGTAGTATATCTCGACGTCAATTTAGCGTCAACATCGAAATAACTTTTCCACAAAACGGCATACACATCAGATGTGCCCAATGTGCATTTGAATTTCGTGGATGCCACTTCACACACTTCCTCCAACTACCCACCTGAGGAATTGCTCCTACCGAACCCTATTCGAATTTCACAATGTTCGCCTTGAAGTTACTGGTACTTAGATCTTCCAAATGACCGTCATCAGAAAATCTAAAAAGATATTACTCCAAATTAGTGGGTATATAAAAATCAGATGTTTAAGTGTCTGCATTAGTCTAAGAGAGAGGAACAAGACTCATCATTTGATACTCACCTCACTGAGTAATTATTTCATAATTATCCCGACGAAGAAGTAGTTGGGGATTCTAGAAGAAACATACAAGACGTTAAAGAGTGGTCAAATCAGATGTTTAGGCTTCTTCATTAGACTAAGAGAGAGGAACGGTTCTCATCACGTGGTACTTACCGTAGGGGGTGCACGTGAGTCACTAAGATCGACTTGAACAAAATTGGCAGACCTCCATTGCTTTATTGTACTAATCATGTATGCATCTCTTCATTTATTACAATAATATAAAAAATATGTCGAAATAATTTAATTTTGCTAAATTTGTTCTTAATATTTATTCTATTTTGAAAATTCTGTAATTATCTATGTTAGAATAATGCACTACATTTTGTAAGGTAAATGCTTGGCAAATGGGTACTGTTATTTTAAATAAATAGCAAAATGCTTTTTCGAGCTTCCTGCGAATAATTTCTCGGCAAAATTTATGCTGTTCGCCTAATTACCGTTTTTTCGTCAACCTTCCATTTGACATCCGATATCCTGGAATCAATTCACGTTGTTCTGAATATATAGCAATTTGACTCCTAAGTTTTCTCCACGTGATAAGTCTGGGCTTACATATATGTATTCAGTTTTATCTATTCTAGTTTATTCTTTGCCTATCTTTCTAAAGTTTCAACAGTAATGATTTTATGCTTTCACTATTGATTTCTGGCGTTGTGCTATTTGGAATCCTAACTTTACCACAGCTTGTCGTGAAGTTATGAAAAAATCATTGCAATATTATTGGCGATCAATTGTCCTTTGCAAGCCATAAAAGCTAGTCTGTAGCCATTGTACCTTTCACTGTTGATTAAACTAATCTTTGCTCCTATACTATAATATGTTATTATACCTTCCAGATATAAAGCATTTAAGGTTGTTACTAAACCTCTCGACATGATATGCTTAGCTTTTATTTCCCACCGGGCTAAACATGTTATTGCATTTAAACCCCATGATACCTTTCTTTCAATACTATATACATACCAAAATTTTTAACGTCTCAATTAGTAATCAGAGTTGACCAAGCGGATATAAACTAATTACCCATCTTTTGGCTGCGCTAAATAGCGGGAATTAGCTGAAATAAAGCGTTGTAGCGATGTCTATGCAACAGACCTTTGGTACGGTAGCCCGAGTTTGTATATTTAGTTAACAGAATTTACATATTTGTTCGGTTATATAACTACAGTCATTTTTGCAGCACAAATAATTCCCGATTTGCTACTCTTGAATAGAACAGTCTGTAGACCATTTGGAAGTCTCTCTGTTTGAGAAAGGGAGCACACAGCAGCTAGACTGATGAAGCCAATTGCGATACATAAACCATGGGAAAAGGCGTAGCCACCTTCATCCACATAGCCTATTAGTTTTCGTGGAGTATCTCTAGGAAGTGGACCGAGTGAAGGGCTGGCAATTTCTAGTGGAGCATATATTTCTGCTTTCGACTCCGGAATCCCCCGTGATAAAACTTCCAATTTTACCTGTAATACAAATACCATAGACACGATTAACGATGTGATCCTAAACAGTCAGCCCAAACAATGTACGGGCATGATAAAGCGCTCGAGTAACCTATATGAACCATCATAATTTCAATAATAACAAATAATGCCGCAAAATGGACGAAATATTGGCATTTCCTTAATTAATGATATTTTGTAAGTCGATTATGAAAACGTTCCTTTATTTCGTGTTGAACATTTTGTAACGCCCACCAAGACAACACAACTTAAGCTGATATAAATAACGTGGAGAATATGGCACGAAGCACGTGATAGGAGAGCACACAGACGATGTCCACTATGTGGAAATCAAGAAATAATAAAGAGAAGGGTATGCGAATGGACAAGGAAATATTTAATAAAGTCGATACTGTAAGATCACCACAAATTCACATTTAATGATTTGTAAGTGAGAAAAAACTAATACGACACAGATTTAAAAAAGTAACCAAAGCCTAAAGACAGCGAATTGTCTCTGATACAGATTCCCTAGAATGGATAGTCACATTTAAAAGCAGTTTCACATCAAGCGCTTTTTATTTCAATAGATTTGCATTTGATACCAACGAGCACACAGGCTTCTAAACGTGATGATTACAGACGGATCACCTGTCTGCTTAACCTCATTGAACTGGTATAAAGCATTCCAAAAATAGGGCTAACCCAATTTTCCAAAACCGACAGTGTTGAAGATATATTTCGACCCAGCTGAAGACAGTTACAAAAAAGGACCACTTCAGTTAACTTAATCGTCGTTGCCACCTACAGGAATGCTACTCTTACTGTCAGAGATTGCCCCCCCCCCCCCCCCCAACCTATCAACCGAGTCAGGAAGATAGGGGAAATAGCAACTGGGTCAACGACCAAAGTCTCTTCTTTATTTTACTTATTAACCACCATCATTAAGGGTTAAGGAATTAGTTACCTACCAGCTTGCCCATTGATTATGCTTTAAAGATCACAAGCATCAAGTGAGAAAAAACTAATACGACAGGTTCCCTAGAATCAAAAAAATGTTGTGTTATCATCGAAATTATTCGCTTTTACTGTCATTCAAATCGCCTTAACGAGGGAAAGCAGAATGTAGATGTCAGTCAAAAGAATAGTAAAAGAAAATACTAGTTAGTGGATAATTAGAACTGACACAGGAGGGGAGATTGAATTGCGCACTTTGAATACTCCCATACAACAGATCTCAAGTGAAATAAAGAAATATATTACTTTAAAATTCCCAATTTGGATTGAGTTTAATAAAGGTTCAGGAAAACAAAAGACAACTAGATCAAGTCTCATTTGAAGGAAACCATATGCCAACAAGAGAATCTGTGGAGCAGCATTAATAGGACTTACAACTTATGGAGACCTTGAAAGATATTCAAATTGATATATATTATAGCAAAAAAGGAATAGAAGCGCAAACTTTATATTTGATTTGATTCAAGGAGAGCACTACGACAGTTCTAGTGGTAGAGGAATAATGGAACGCAATAACGAAGTCTGGATAACCTGCGTTCAAAATTTGAGCCAGAAAGGTGAGTGGGAGCATCGAGTTAGTTAGGTAGCCACCAAAGTGAAATTACTTCCTTAAGTGCCTGATCCGTGAGCTTATAATCCATTCATTGCCAACCAACCTTCTTCCCAATTTCGGCATGAACTTCACCCTTTGTAAATGCAGAGAGAAATGAGGCAACTTCTCGTTTCCAATAAAATCAACCGCAGGCATCAAAAGCCAGTTTTTTTCATAAACAACGCGATTATAGGTGATTCTCTAATGGAAGGTGTCTTCGACATAAATCAAACGAGAATAGAAACTCAAGTGTCTATATCTTCGTATGAACTCAAATGCGTGTTTCAATCAGTGGATATTATTACTGCTATCAGCTTTCATTCCGCACCTATGCTGTTAGAGAAAGAATATTTCGCATTACAGTAGGATAATTAAACTAAACAGTTAATTTAATGGGAAAAATGGATAGGGAAAAAAGCACAGAAAACCCACCATGACAAGGGCTCTAGGCAAGTCAGGATCGTATCTCGAGAGATGATCTACAGTGAGATGGCGGGCTCGAGAATCTCCGGCCAGCAAACGTCGGACCACCAGAACTAGCATTGCTTTGTCACGGAGGACAAAGAAGAAGGAATTCTCTGCAGTACCATCACCCCCTCCTTGGGAAGTGGGTACTGAAGGGTGGAAGGACTCCATTAACTCCAACCAGTCCTTCGTTGTTGGCGGCGAACAACGAAAGTTGATTCTTGCGCGACGTTTGGCATCTCCAGTTAGTTTGCTTAAAAAAATAATACAAATTTAATAAAAAACACCCTACAACAAGTTTATTTACATTTATCGAATTCCTTGTTCATTGTGTGCATATTGCTTGACTTTACGCAACATTATCGACTCAATATGACCTTCAGAAATTTGGGTTGAAGATTTATCGATTGTGGTGCAGTGATTGGTATAATACCGTTACAAGTTACTATTATTAATTTGACTCTTAAAAGTAAAAGCAAAAGTAATCAGCCCTATTCTAAAGATAGTAAGCACAACGGTGAAAGCAGATTAAGTAAAATAACTCCGATACACCTGGATGAAATCCTCAAGCTTTATCCATCGTGTACTGGACAATCGACCATGAGATTGGTACTTGCGTGTTTTAAAATCGGCTTTCTCGGTAAATAGATGCCAATGGGAAGCCGAGGTTATACAAGGGGCAAAAAGTATTATTTTAGACCTCTAGAACGGTGATCGCCTGCTAGTAATCAAATTCATCGCTTCAACACAAGGTTTGGCCTATACCAAATTATGCGACCGACATAGAGAATGAAGATTAATTAATTCCTAATAGGTATCGACGAGGAATGTTGTCAAATGCAAACTTCAGGCAGACACCTAATCAATATGCAACAAAGAACTATAGGCAAGAGAAGTCAAGCTGTCAACTTGAAATACTAAAAAAAAATTCGTTTACTTAAAGAAAGTCAGCGGTAGTCAGTATATTGATTTGACCCAAATTTAGATTAAATTTATGCAGAGGCGAGTTAAATCAATTGAAGGATGCTGAAATACGCTTTCGTATTCAATTAGGCGTGGAAACAGATCACAGTTAAATCCACAATATCCATAGGTTTATTTGGGGGGGGGGGCTTAGTAATCAATAGAAAAGCTTGGTCATTTGGCTGAATCGAAATTATTCTTTGAGAAGCGCGCAATGGCAAAGAGAAGATTCAAATCGGATTGGGACTTTAGAGGTCATTGTTCCATTTACCGATAGTCGACAATAATAATAATATTAATAGCTAGCTGAATGAAAAAGAACTGTAAAAATGTTGTAAGTAACTTTCAAATACCAAGTATGCAATTAATACCCTAAACCACGAAGTTAAAAACCGGAAGAGCTTTTTCAATTTGATGCTGTAGTAGAAACGAGGGTGGTTTAGTTTAAAGAGCAAAAACCGATTTGGGTTACTCAAATGAACAAACAGATGTAAAATCGATCCTTCAACTCAACTAATAAACTCTAAATAGAATTGGAAATGCCAAACCAACTCACCATCTTCTAATTTGATGGTGATATAACTAACATCAAACGTAATTTAAAAATGTTTCCGATCATCACATTATGCACCGAGCTCACGTGGCTACGCGTTTCATAAGTACCCCAAGCAAGCGCCTACCTAGAATTCTAGAGGGTCAAATGCTGACATAAGGAAACTTTAAAAAAAAACTGTAAAATGATGCCTCAAATGAAACACTAGTTACTTTAAATTTTACCCAAAAAATAATACTTATTCATGATTAAGAAAATGGGAAGTGTACACAATAATAACAACTGAACAGCAGATAAAAATTGTATGCCTTGATAAAGTCTCTAAAAGAGAGAGAGAGAGTGAGGAGAAAAAAGGAAATTTGTACAATCTTTAAAGCACATACAATACTTGATCTTCAAATCAAAATTCAGGCCCGCCAAAATTAAACCAATTAGTAAACATGCTAGCGTAGACAAAGATTTCGCTTTGATGGAAAAATGTCACCCCCCCCCTCCCCCCTCC